CGGGGCCCCGTCAACAGGAACTTCGACAAGCCATGACTTAGAGGAGGGAGACAACCTTCGACAAACCAGGACTTAGATGAGGGCGATTTGGGGAACCAGTAGTTGGCCTTCGGGGGCCCCCCTCGTCGCCACGGCTGTACGCAACTCGGAAAACTGGCGCGTTCGGTCCCCAGGAGGGCCCCGTAAACGGGGACTTCGATGATTGAAAAAATGCATACACATACACTTTCGGAGCTTCATTCGGATCTCTTGGGTTGGCGCTGGGACCCCCTGGCGGCGCCTCTAAGGCGGCGCCTCTGGCGCCGCCCCTGGCGCTGGTCCAGCGCCAATGCAAGAAATCAGCGCGGACCTCCGAAAGCTTATGTTCATGAAGATTTTCCTTCCCCGAGGCAAATCTGGACAGTGGCGCGCCCGAGGAAACTGCAGGCGTGGGCCGAGACATGCTCCATCCTCCGTTCTTTGGGGAGCGCTGAGAAGGGGGGCGCGCATCATGGCACAGCGCATGTGCGCGGACGAGGGGGGGGCCCAGGAGACGAATTGAGAGAAGAGGGCGGGGGGGCATGAAACCTGGGAGATGTTATGGCCTATGAAACCCGCCCGCCCCCTGGTCCTCACTCCCCTCTTGGACGCCTGGTGGTTTTCGGATCATAACTGGGGCCTCCGGCGGCCGTTCGGGGCGATCCCTCGGCGAGGCGTAGCTGCTGGAGAGCATCCCGAGGCAAGAACACGACCAAGAACCCACCAAAGTCCCTCACGAGACCAAAGCCGTGCGGTGACCCCGAACCCCCACCGACTCACCTCACGGCGTGGTCACCGCACCGCTCGGGGGCTCCCGAGGAGCCCTGGCTTGAAGATCGTTTTTTAATTTTCGGCGAAAACCCCTGTTATCCGGTGGGGGGGAGAGGGAGAGGACGGCCGATAACCAAACCTTTTCGCTTTGGGCAGCCCCATGTACGCCCGCGCACACCAGCACTGCGTACCTCCTTCGGACCTGCGCAACCGACAAGGTCAGGCTTTCTGGGCAGGAAGGGGGGGGAGGGGGGGCCGAATAACCTAGGTTATCGCTGGGCACTAAAATAAGAGTGTCTTGTGTGACGCAGAAGGACATACTAGTAAAGTCGGAACTGCCAGTAAGGATTCGCGATAAAGATGCAAGGACGCCCATGCCGAAGCTTGTCGAGCGGGGCTTGCCATCGAAAGCGGTTAAGGATAGACCGAAGAGGCAAGGATGCAAGGGCACCCTTGGAAAGGTTACCTATCCTTATCATCGGCTTTCGACTGTACTGTGCGTCCTCCTCGGAGGCGCCCGTCCGACCCGAACATCCAGTACAAACATCTTGTAACGCCTCATTTCCCGAGCGGTACGGCCAGAACGCGCCCACCACGGCGAACATACTACAAGATTTCTCGGCGCGCGCGTCGCCCTTGGGGGCGAAGCACACCTGGAATCAGCACACCTGGAATCATCTTGCCGAGCCCTGGCCTCCGGGGCCCCGACATCAGCAGCACGTGCACGTGCCGGGCGTCGCTCCCCTGCATCACCGCGCTGGGCGCGGAACACAGCGCGCGCAGGGCCGCGAGGAAGGCGGGCCGTGGCATCTCGGGGCCCGCCGGGTCCACGCGCAGCATCGACCGGCGAGCGAGGACGACCGAAGAAGAAACCAGCGGCGTTCGGTCGGGAACTTTCGCTTGCCGGGACGCGGCGGCGGCCCCAGCGACACGCTCGGCCATGCGAGTGGATAGCGTGTGGCTCCGCTCCGCGGGGCGGGCGGCTCGGGAAAGCTCGGGACGTTGACGCCTCGGGACCGGGAGGTGGATAGCGTGTCGCGCCGCAGCGCGGAGGGCCAGAACCGGCGGAGAAACACGCTGTCCCAAAATTCCCGACCGTAAGCATAACTTTCGGAGGTCCTCGCGGGTGTCTGGGTCGGCGCTGGGCCCCTCTGGCGGCGCCTCTGGCGCTACTCCTGGGCGCGCTCCGCGCACTGGGAGGGGGGCCCCAGCGCCGACCGAAGAAATCTGCGCGGACCTCCGAAAGTTTGTGCGTATGCCGACTTATCTCCCTCGAGCTGACGTTGGCGAGGCTGGAGCCGTTCTGTGGCGGAGGGAGGCTCTCCACCAGAGTGGCACCTTCCTCGTGGGCGCTGTGGTCGAAGGCCAGGCGTTGCCAAAATTATCCCTGGCCCACAATCTTCCGTGTCCCTCAGATCTCCAGGGAGGCCCCGATGGCCTCCAGAGCATCCCTCACGAGGCCCCGAGGGCCCCAGGGGCTCCAAAACTGCCTGAAAAGCTGGGGGCATCAGAGCGACGAAAAGGAACGAGTCTCACGCGAGATGCCATAGCGGCCTTACGCGGTGGCTTACGCGGGCCGCCAGCGCGGCACGCCACACTGGAACCGAGCGCGCTTGCGCGCGACCTTACGCGGGCAGACTGCGTGCGAATGCCGGCACAGCCGAACCCATTTTTCTGCGCCACCTTGGGCCAGGACCACTTCTGGCAACGCCCGAGACAACACCGCGCGCTGCGGGGGCGTCCCGCAGCTCCAGCCTGCTGGCCGCCTGCGCGGCGTCCATCCAGGGCCACACCTGGAGGCTTCTCAAATGGGGTCCTCCTCCTCCTCCTCCTCTTCCTCCTCTTCCTCTGCCACCTCCTCCTCCTCTTCCTCCTCTTCCTCTGCCTCCTCCTCCTCTTCCTCCTCCTCCCTTTTTGCCCTCCTCCTCTTCCTCCTCCTCCTCCTCCCTTTTCCTCTTCCCTTTTCCTCCTCCTCCTCCTCCTCCTCTTCCTTTCTCCTCTTCCTTTTTCCTCTTCCCCTTTCCTCTTCCCTTTTCCTCCTCCTCCTCCTCCTCCTCCTCCTCCTTCTCCTCCTCCTACTACTCCCGTCGGAGGATCGCACCGCATCGCCGATGCATCGTCGATGAATCGGCGATGCATCGGCGACGTCGGCGACGCATCGGCGACGCTGGAGGTGCCGCCGCTGGGCGCGCTCCGCGCGACAGAGAGGAGAAGGGGGTTCCAGCGGCGACACAAGAAATCCGCGCGGACCTTCGAAGGTTTATGTTCATGCCGTATTCTCTCCTTCGATTCATGGCGATTGAGGGTCAACGATCGGGGGAGGCATCGACCTTGAATCGGCGTTACATCGCCGATAGATCGGCTGTAGGCCCCCGATGGCGAATCCGCACTTTCCTGGGCGGGGTGGGCTATCAGACCCCTACCGGAGAGGAATTGGCGATTAGAGGTCGACGCATCCCACTCTGAGCCTATTCCTCCCTGATTTTGCCACCTGGCTCTTTGGTCACATCTCGGCCCTCCTGCGTTCCGGGCCACCCCGGAACGCCCTCGGCGAGGCGCAGCTGCCAGAACGCATCCCGAAACCGGGAAGCCGCCAGGAGACAAGGAAAACGTCTGAAAACATCGAACCTCGAGCCTCTGATCCTCCTTCTCCTCCTCCTCCTCGGAGATCCTGAGCCTATCCCCCCCTAACGTTGCCCCTGAGCAATTCTGGTAGCCCGCTTCCGCCCCGGCGCGGTTTCCTCGGATCGGCGCTGGAGCTCCTTGGCAGCGCCTTCGGCGCCGCCTTTGGCGTCCAGCGCCAATCCAAGAATTACGTTGCTCCCATCGCACTTAAGGACCACATTCCAAAAAGAATTTCGAGCTCCCAGAAAAGTGTCGAAGCAGTGTCGAACGAGTATCGCCACCCAGGGCCCGACAAGTGAAAATCCTCAAGTTTCGGACTGTCCTGGTGCTCGAAATTATTCCTGGCGGTCAAGGCTAAAGTAAATTGGAACATCTCAATCCAAGAAAGCAGCGCGGACTGGCGAAAGCTTATGTTTCTGCAGCTTTCCCCTCCTTAGATTCATGGCGATCCACCAGTGACTTCAGCAAACGTCGCAGCGTGAGCGACTACCGTAAACCGTCGAGACAACTGGCCAGGCAAGTAATATAAACTGCGCCCTCGAAGACAGTCCCACTCTGGAGCGAGAATCTCCCCTCCGAAGGAAGAGGAGGAGGAGGAGGAGGAGGAGGAGGAGGAGGACGTTAGCTTCATGGCGATCCTGGTAGCCCGCTACCACGCCGGCCGCAGACAGCGGCTCCGGCGACCCCATGGCGGCCGACGGCCACGCTGCTGGCAGCCCGTAGGCTGCCACGAGGGCGGCCGCGTCCAGCGCGGCGGCGGCGGGCTCCGAGGCGGCGCCGGGCCGCGTGAGGACGAGCAGCGCGAGCTCCGGGGACTCCTGCGCAGAGGGACCACACTTGCTGTCTGCCCCCCACGCAGTCGCCTGAGGGCTCGCTCGCGTTGCATGCAGTGGCCCTGCTCGTCCGCTCTGCATCGCCACAGGCACAGCAAAGCACGAGCGTCGCGCGCAGTGCTCGTCTGAACGCCGCCGCTGCTGACAGCGCGGGAATGCTGCGCACAGACCCGAACTACTGCGGACAAGATCTTGCACAGACATACCACATTCAAGCAGGAAGAAGGATTCACGAGAGCGGAGCCGTGGTACCAAGCCGAGGCCGCGCGGCCAAGAAACAGATAATAGGAAACGGACATCTATACAGGTCAACCTCCTTCCTCCACAATTACTCAATATGAATACTACTCTCCCTCTTCCCCTGATGACGTGCTGGGAGTGTTCGCCCCCCCCCGCGTCCTGTTTTTTTACACACAGGATTCCCAAGAGTTGGGTTTTCGCCTGCATTTTTTTCAAAATGCTGCTCTCGCTGAGGCGCCGGCCTCATTTTCGGGCCCCGCTCGTTCCGAATCGTGCTCCCGCTGCAGCGCTGGCCTCATTTCCGTGCTTCCGCTCGTTCCGAATCGTGCTCCCGCTGCAGCGCTGGCCTCATTTCCGCGCTTCCGCTCGTTTCGACTCGTGCTCCCGCTGCAGCGCTGGCGTCATTTCTCGTGTCATGCCACAGCACACGCGCACACACGCACACACACACACCACCACCACGACCACCACCACCACCACCACCACCACCACCACCACCACCACCACCACCAC